GAAAGAGCAGAAGAATGGAGAAGAGGAAAAAGGGAAAACCAGGAGGCAACAATAGATAAAGGAATCAGGAGGGTGGAAGCTTCATGAAATTCTTGGTAGGGAAAAATCAACCATTTCAGAAGGGATCTAAACCCAGTTTTAGATGGATCTAAAACTGACTAAAACTCATCTCAGGACAACTCCAGTGCAGAATGGAGCCAGCTTCGGAAGAAAGTTGAGAACAGGCAATAGAGCATAGGAAATCTTACCGAGGGGAAACGGGGAAGGAAGGGGGATAGGAAAGGGAGTGATAGTGGGCTCTCTCTCTGTTTACATCAGTGCTACCTCAACACTAGCCCACTCTTCTGTTCTGATGGCTGTTTGGTATTTTCCCCAGCCTGCGGGGCTGTGACCTGCCAGCACTGCCTTGGGGTTCAGGAGCTCACCTGCAGCTCTTTATCCAAAGCTGATGGACATGATTAGGAACCCATCACTGAGGTACCCGGGGGGCACATCCATCCCCAGCAATTAGCATTTTAAACCTAAAACCATATGCCTTGTAGCCTTGCCCCAAAGGGGCCTCGCGTAAGGATGGTTTATAAAGAGGCATAGTTCTTAGGGCAGATTCCCCTCCACCACTGACCAAGAGTCAGCGCTGCTCTCAAGTCAGACAAGCCACTTCCCAGCTAGAACAGGTGAAGATGCTGCCAATGGCCGGCCCAGACTGCAGGCTTCAAATATGAGCAGTCGCATGCTAGGAAGCAAGACACCAGACCAAGGACACACTGGTGGCAACTGGTGCTATCCCATCAGTCACTGGCTGGACATACAGCCCTGGAAGCTGGGTGAGATTTTGCCATTCATTTACTGGAGGTGAAATCAGAGTCACCCCTGGGATATTTTACAATTCCTTTTGCCCCTAACAACCTCCTTCTCCTAGCTCTGTAAACTGAAGTGCTTTTTCCCTGATATAATCCACCAAGCAGAGGGGCTCTTGTCTGTCCAGACCCACCTGAATCTGTCGCTGTGTTGTTTGGTTTCAGTGCCAAGCACCTTGGCGCAGGGACAGCGTTTGTACAGTGCCATATGCTCGATGGCACTCCATCAACACCAACAACAGCAGCAATACCCCGTCAGTGGAGATGGGCAAACCTGCCTGTTCTTGTCAGATACGGCAGTACAGACCTGCTGGGACTGGATCATATTAACACAAGTCTCTGCTGACTCTGAGCTACCCCTTCTCTCATCTCCAAGGTCCTTTTGTACCAAATGCTTCATTTTCACCTCCCATTCATGTTATTTGCAAGGGAAGTTAGTTGCTTCTTCCATCTTTGCCAGCCTCCTGCCATTTTAATTCCTTCTGTCACTGAAAAGATGCCCTCATGCATATAGCCCAGGGCTTGAAGACCTGGGTGCTCTCCCTGATTTTGCAAGATTCTTGTATAATTTTGCAGAAGTCATCAGCTGGGACAATACAGGTGCTGCAAGTTGTTGTGGGGCAGTGCAGAGGAGGCTGAGGGGAGCTCTAGGTAATGCTGTACCTGGGTTGGTAAAATACACATTGCACTGTGAAGCTGCACTGGTCAGTGCAGAGAAGGGAATGGGCCCGTCTCACTCCCACTGCAGCCTGCTCCTGCCTCATCTGTCACCCCATCTGGTCCTACTTGCCACTTTCCCAATTTTTTCTGTTGGGAACAGTCCCGTTCCCCAGAGCCAATATCCTCCCTGTCCTTTGTCAGAGCTTTCTTCATTCTCAGCTACTCCATTTTGACAATCCCACCTTGCTCTCAGCTGCCTTGCCCCCAGAGATCTGTGGCAGTGAAACTGAAAGCTCTTTGGGCTGCAGGTGCTAATCCCCTAAGCAGGGCTCTGGCTGTGATCACACCTCAACAAAGGGCATTTATTTGGGATTTTACCAAATGAGGGGGACAGAGGCCATCCAGTGCCCAGGGGAGCCCTTGTCTGGTGTCTCAACATATACATTCTGAAAGTCAGCTCGCTCACAGACAAGGATGCAAGGATTCAGGGGCTGCATGTGTAACACCCCTGGCATTCCCCAGAAAAGGACCCATGAAGTTGGAAGATGGTCACTGAAGCAGGGGAGGCACCCAGCTGCAGGGTGCAGGTATCGGGTAGGAGGTCTGGGAAGCAATAAATAAAGACGTACATGAGAAGCACTGTGCAATGCCAGGGTATTTCCGTGCAAGGCTGCTGCTGCGTTCTGGGTAGTGCATGTTAAGTAACATCATTCTGGTGTGTACAGGGACTTGTTTCTGTACTATTGGTGCCTACGATCCAGAGAGGATGGATCTAAAACTGACCAAGCAGAGAAAGATGTGGCTAAGAGTCCTTCTGCATAGTCAGGAAGCCTTCTCCCAGCTCCCTGACAGGAGGGCAGGAGTCCGTCTCTGCATTCCCATCACTGGCTCACACTACTCTCTTTCAGGTTGCTCCAGAAGGGTGAATGATGCTGGACAAGGCCATCCTCCTCCTATTCCTCCACTTAGTCATGTGCTCCATCTCTTCTCCTCTCTATCCAGCTCTCAGGTACGCTCTGGTCTCCTCGATTTTCTGCCTACCCTGGATATTTTCCTCATAGCTTCACATCTGGGCATGCAGGGTGCATCTATCCAGCCTCCTGGGTTAGCCTGAGGGCATCACTGAGATGTAAGCCCCCGACCCGCTACTATGCATCTGGGTGTGCACATTAGGCCATAGAGAGGACTCCGGCGCATGGAGTGGGGAAGGGGAGTGGAGTACAGTGCTCTGGAGCACACTCACCCCACTCCGAACTACTCAGGTCTGCTGCAAGTTGTAGCCTGGTCACATACATATAGGCAAGATGTGGCACACTCACATGGGGCACAGACACATCTGTAGTGGGGCCATCACTTTTCAGGCTTCCCTCCACTGCTCTGACAAGATATTACAGTGCCAGCTGGTAGCAACCGTGATGCTATGTCAACCTCCCCTAAGTGCTATCAGTGCATTTCAGTCCTAACAGGAAATGCCCTCTGCCCCAAACACCATCAATTAATCTCAGCCCTGCTTGGGAGCACCCTCTGCTATTTCAGTCCAGGGACCCATACTACCCCTCTGGACCCAGAGTGTCCCCTGCCATTTTTGCCTTGATCCCTGCCCCAGATCTATAGCTCTGCCAGCTCACCCTAGCCCTAACCCACATCCCCTCATGCTCCTTCAGTCTGGACTGCCTCCCACACAGAACTGTCACGTCACCTCTGTCCTGACCTGCAGCCCCTCCCCACCATTCCAGCTTGCAGCAGCTTCTGCCTAGACACTGCAGGTTGTGCCAAATCATCTTTTTTAAAAAAATATCATTTTCTGCTTCAGTGAGGACGAGCTTTTCCTCCTCCTCATCCCTCTGGCTGGGAGGAAAGCTCACGATGCTGTCGCTTCTCCGCAAGCAGCTGTTTATCTCCTTGGTTATCTCATGATATTCTCCTGTTTTAGTCTAGATCTTCTGCTCACGCTAGGTGCATGGCTATTGATGGAGCCTGACCGGGCCCCCATGCCAGCATTTGTCAGCCCACACAACTGCCTAGCTGGGCTGGTGGGTGCAGTTAGGATGGGGTGTAGCTGCTTGCAATAGTGCACTGTCCTTGCCGCTATTATTAATGTATCCCAGTCTGACATAAAGGCAAGTACATTAGGCAGCTGAGGGGAAGGTCAGATTCAAACAAAGGGCACTTTAAGGTATTCCTGGAGATAAGGACTGGTGATAACTGGGCCAGCAGCTTGTATATTCACACAGCAGGTTCGAGCACAAGCTAGCTTAGTCATGTGCCTTGTAGCAGCCTCAGCTAGCCCTGTTGGTGATGGTGGGGAGGTCAGGCTCCATGGTCCAGCCAGTTCTCTCCAATATGACCAAAGGGAGATGATTCTGAGGACAGTCATTAGAGGGCTTAGATACCACAGGGTTTGGTGCAGTACAGAAATGCAGATGGATTCACAGAGAAGTAATATCCATCCATCCACCCCCCACACGTGGGCTGAGTTACCATCATATAGCAATAACTTGGTTGCTGCCAAACTGGGCAGGGTTTGAATGAGTGGCCTACAGCAGACTGGCTCTCGTAGCTTGATAGCAATTCTCCAAAACCTCTACTCCAGCCTCTGGCAACACAGCACACAAAAAACGTTAACAGGACAGTTAAGTTTGCATGGTCAAGCACTCTAAAGTTAGCTCATGCCAGAAGTTAGGTTGCTGGGGCAATCTTAATTTAGCTCTCATGGGCCTGTCCATTGGAATGAATGCTTGTCTCTGGTCTAAGGCCCATTTAATTACTTGTGCAGAGTGAGACTGTTCCAGCAGGGGAGACTGACTCGATATCTCAGCAAGAGGGCACTCACCTGGGATGCAGAGTTGTCTGTGTCAGGCAGAGTGAGGAGCTGAGCCTGGGCCATCCAGATCCTAGAGTGCTCCCAGCCCTGGGATGTTGGCTGTGCTGTGCTAGGGCTCCCTTATCCTGACCAGAAAATCCATCACAGACTGGAGAAAACTTTCCTGTCAAAACTGCTGACAAATTCCCAGCCCCTGCTCCAATGCATGGAAAAAGCAAAGGGTTTTTTCAGTGATCTCCTTACTAAGATATCAACCAAATCCCCCTCCCTTCTCTCACACGTTCTGGACCATTATGCCTACAACACCACTCCAACCAGACCAAAGCATGGAGGCACTTGAGCATCTCAAAAATGAAGGTCTCAAAAAAGGTTTTCTTCAGCAAGGATAAAACCAAATGCATCTCCCTCAAACTTCTATTTTGGGTAGGGCTGAACCCCTTTGACTGGAATTAAAAAAAAAATTAGCTTCAGGCAGACATCTACCATACAAAATTTCAGCCAAGTTATAAGCAATGGAAAGCAAGGTCTTGTCACTGCAAGTGTCAGACAATCTTAATGAGCAGTGCCACAAGTTCTGGCCAGGATTCAGTAGAGAATACAAATTCTCCTCCTTTGCATATTCTATTATTGGTTCCTTGCATTAAAGTGAAGGCTGTAGGCACTCTGGTGTATGAACTGAAGAGTTCGCACCCAGCCTCTTGTCTGAATTTCTCTGTCACCTTCACAAATTGGTGAATGCACAATGCTGGGTGCAGCTGGAATCTGAGGCCACCAAATTCACCCCACTGCAGGGAAAATCCTTTAGCTTAGCTTTTCCTTTCTGACATAGTGAAAACCAGATCACTCATATTTGTCCTGGGTATATTGGCAGCTCATAGAAAAGAGACATCTGGGACCTGATGTCTAGTGCAGTGGTGACATCCAGGCAGTTGCTAACATGTGGAGTAAAGCAATGGGCAAGGCCTGTGCATTACCCATGAGACAGGGAAGAATAGAGGATAAGACACAGAGATTAAATCAGCAAGTGCCGTTTGAGGGGGCTGGTGGTTCTCTCCGTCAAGCATCTCAGTGGTACAGAGAAGGTGAGCAGGGCTGCAGTTTAAACATGCTCAGTGCTGCGTTGGCTTTTACAGATACAACCCAGGGCCCATTGCTGGCAAGATGGTGAGCTTTCAGCTCCGGGACAGCGGCCCAATGCAGAGCCACAACCTCTCTGCTGAAGAGCAGGAAGAGGAGAGTTTTCTTACTGATCCTGCTGAAAAAAGGTGGGTGCCTCACTCTCAAGCCCCAGCTCACAATGGAAAGAGCCCCGGTTAAATTCTTCCTGCAGCGAAGCCCAAACAGAAACAGCAAGAGGACTCAGGAGCCAAGGGATGTTTTGTAGAAAAAGCTCATTTCCAGGGCTGGCCACAAATTTTCCAGTCAACATTTCAGCAAGTGGCTTCCCTCAGCTGGTAGCAATGAGCCAGGGCCCCTCCATTCACCCTCCCTAACATCCATTCTCCCTCCAACCTCTCCCCACTCAAGTTTTGCAATCCTTTTACCATGTTGTGTTCTGCTGTATGGATGCTGATTGGGCTGGTAGTATTTTTCCCGCTGTCTCCTTATCATGCATTTTTACATCAAGAGCAATACATTTTCTGACCTAGCAGTGCCCAGACCTTGGGGAGATTGTGTAATGGGCACTTGCCCCTCCAGGAGGTCAGATCTCAGCAGCACTTGAGTCAGGTGCTCTGCAGCACTTCTCAAAAGTCCTCTTTTCCTGAAAGGTCAACTTTCCAAGAGAGATTTACAGTTCTCTTGTGTGTCCCCTCTGCAGGATGCAGCGACACGCAGATGCCATATTCACTGACAACTACCGGAAATTCCTGGGGCAAATCTCTGCCCGCAAGTTCTTACAGACCATTATAGGCAAGCGGCTGGGGTAAGCCAACCTTTGCTGCTCCCCTGGGTAAGTGGGTTGGGCATTGGGCAGCCTCTTCTGTAAAACAGCTTTCCTTCCGGGCCCAGTGGAACCATCCCCTCCTAGCCAGGTTCTCAACTCAGTTCTCACTCCTCCATCAGTCCCCCAGCTTGCTTTGTCTTGTGGGAGTCCTGCATCTCCATTTTGTAGGATTTCTGCCATCACAGTTCTTCTCCCTGGGCATGCTATTTAACCTCTGCCTTCCCAGCCTTTCAACGACAGACTTCTCCTAGATCTCTGCTACCATGTTCGTAACCAACTAGAACCTTTGTGGAAAGCCAAGTAATTGATATCACTCACTGGGGCGGAAATAACATAGCTAGTTCCCACACTACTTTGGAACAGGAGGAAAACAGCATCCACTTTGCTGCTCCCACGGCTTGGACAACATCCAGCGCTGGTAAACCAGACGGAAGACATTTTACAACTGCAGCTCAGCAACGATGTCCCTCTGGGACATCCCTGTTCTTACCCAAGAGCCTGGAAGACCCTGAATCAACCTCTCTTATCAGAACCCCCTTGCACCACAGATCTCTTCTCCTTACAGAAAGTAGTTGAAAGACCTGCTTGTGGAACTAACTGCCCATTTCTGTTTCCTTCTTCCCTGAAGCAGTGAAGGCAGCTCAGGGGAAGGGGTGCACGAATTCTTGACCAGGCGCCAGTCTGACAGTATCTTGATGGACAGCCGCTATCACCAGCAGATGGTATTAAGGAATTTCTTGGGAGCCATTCTACAGAATCAAAGGTAAGTAGAGAACTCTACCTGGGAATGAAGGCCTCTATGATCCTAACCTCATTGCAGGCTTCAGGAGCTTTGGCTCTATACTTCAGTGGGAGCAGGAAAAGCTTTTTTGTTCCTGTTGGCTTATGAAGGTGGGACCATGTGGCTATGTCCAATCCTTCAAGTATGCTGAAGATGAAAGCAAAGTTCCTACCTACCAGGCAGCAAAGCTCACATCTTCCCCACCAGGGACAAGCCCATCATAGCTACATGACTGGGAGCTTGCCCAGAGCCTGCCAGCAGCAGATGAAGTACTAAAGCCACCCCCTGTGGATTTTTCTTTGTTCTTCAATTCTCTTGAGAGAAACGTGGGTGGGGGAATATATATTATGCCCTTCCCATCCTCTCCTGTTATGCAGGCCTCAGGATGCCACCAGTGATCAGCTAGATGACTTTACCAGCACCTTGGCCAAGCTCATGAAACTGTAAATAACTCACCCCACACCCCATCTGGTTCTGGTGAGTATGGGTCTCCAGCTGCTGAGCTTTGGGCAGTGCTCCATACTGAAGATCAGTTTCTGTACAAACCAGTGGTGTTCCAGCCTTTGTCTCAGCCCAAAACAACTCCTGAATTCTATGGGAGTGAAGAGCTCAAAGCTCCCTCTCAAAAGTCAGGTCACTTACTGAGGCATCTAAAAGTCAATTTGAAGACTGTTTTTTGTTTGGAAAGGTCAGCCATGCAGACAGACACTGACTTTAAACAATGCCTTTGTAAGCAGAGATCAGAGAGCTGCAGGGCACCAAGTGGCCTCTCAGGGAGCATACCACTGAACGCTAGGTCCCAAGTCTCCACTTTTGCAGGGCAGGGTCCTAAGACTCCACAGCTCTGAGACAGGGCCCTACATTCAAGCACTGCCTTTTTTACGGTGGTTCCTTCAACAAGTCCAAAAAGCTTGACGCCTGTTAGGGGGCTGGGGAAATGCTTGGAAGCCAGGCAACCAGATGTTGGTTGAAACACAGTCCAGCTTTTTCTAAGCAGGCCAATCAACTAAAATAAAATGTTTAGGATCCTTGGGTTAGAATGGAGAAGTAAAGCTTGCACTGTGCTGTTCGCAGAACCTACTCAGAGCAAGCAGGAATCTCTCCCCCCGTCCTGCTGTCACATTGCATCTGCATCCCTTGGCCTGCAGTTGTTAGAGGCTGATGTTCAGTTGATCTGCCTATGTGCTCCAAAAGTAACTTCATTTAATGCAAAAGTTCTCAATAGGTCAACAGGACACCAACCCAGACACACCTATTGACCAACTCTCTTATTCCCTAGTTCAGGGAAGAAGTCAACTCTGCCAATCCAAAGAAGGCACTATAGAGAAGTGAGAAAATAAAGTCTCTCAAACTCACCTGGGTCCAGATGCCAGTTCTTTGCCTGTTTAGAGCCAATCAACCAGCTTGGCTTGGTTTACTTTTAAAGTTTAAGTTCCTCACTGCACAGCTCTGGAGTTTTGTTCCTTAGGGAACTGATTACACACAATGTTCTTCACATTTCCTTTAATTTAAGCTAAGTTACAGCACCCAGCTATAACCCTCCACTTTTAGCAAAAGGAAGCCCCCTGGGCTTTGTTTTTCCCCATATGAGGTTCTGGCTTCAGAGCTATTTCTTACAGTGGGTCCTTCAATTAATTTAAAAAGGAATTCTTCATCTACTGATGAAGTCTTATCTCTGGGGCAACCAGCAGATGTTCACAGCAATCCAGGACAGCCTTTCAAAACAAGCCAGCATATATTAGTTAGTATTGAGGTCCTTAGAATAAATTGGAGAAGCAAGTTTTATAGCATGTTCACATAGACAGCACAACCTGCTGCCCTGGCCTCAAGACACCCAGGGTATTCTCTCACTTCATTGGCAGCAGAGTTCTCATCAGCACCCTTCTTCTCTTAAAACAGCGTACCAAAACCTGAAACGCAATTCTGCTTCTCTTGGCTGGCAATTAGTGTCTGAGAAATTATCTTCTATAGTATTTCCAGTAGAAGGCCAACATATGGTGGCAACTGGGTAGTTCTGTCCTACTAACCCAGACATGCCTACCTGACCAACCCATACCTCTTATTCCTGTGTCCCCAAGAAGTTCTAATAGACTAACATACAAAAGAAAGTGGGGGGCAAAAGTCACTTTATAGAATTACAGTGTCCCACATTTTTACACAACGAAATTAAATAAGCCAGAAGTGTGTAATCACCCGGAAAAGCATCACACTTCTTTATCCTCCTTACCCTTCTTGCTTCACTTTGATTTTGATTTATTTATGTCCACTTGCTGCCAAGTGATGACAGCTAAGTAGAGCCTCTGGTTAATGTAATGAACATCTGCTATGTTTTTGCTCTTAAACAGCTGCCTTATAATGGTTTTTTTCCTTCTCCCTTCTGCACAGAATAATTCAGAGATCGTGGACTTAACTGTACAGTAAACAACTCACAGACCAGAAGAAAAAACTCCTCGACCTGAACAGCTGTAAAATTCATGCATATGCTTCTTGGAACCCATGGATGCTCTTCATTAAAGGACTAGGATTTCAATTAACATGCTTTGGTTAATTTGAAGGTCCTTGTAAAGTAACAACCCTTTTACCTCACCCCTGTGACTGTACTTGAGCAAACAGGCATTTTACTTTTATTTGCTGCTGCTCTGCATAGGGCTTATCTATCCTATACCTGACTAGGCCACAGCAGAATCTGTGTTGCTATTACCTATAACCTAACAGTTTTTAATCAAATGCTACAGAAAACATCTGCTTGCTGTTCAGATTGAGAGTTTAACTCAATAAATATTCAGGCAATCCCAAATTATGTTTTGGTATCCAAATCAATTTATCCGTATGTACTGATTTGATACCTCCCTCTGACTGATGCTGTTCGAAGTGGAGAGGGGATAAGCATTGTATGCCTGTATCTTACAAGTTTTCTTTAGGGGAAGAAAAGGTCCCAAGCATTTACAGTCTACTAGAAACCACACTGGGGCCTCAGGCCCGACTTTTTTATCCAGTCAGGCCTACCCATACAGATCACTTGCAGCAGGACTGAACCCACTAGCAGGTACTAAGGCTCAGTAGCCTAACCTTGTGTTGTTGAAACAGAAGAGGAGAGGATTGGCTTGCTTGCTTTAAATGAGACTGGTACAACAGGGGTGGGAACTTCCCATTATACTGATACGCTGTTTCAGTCATTTAACAGAGGACTACTAACTAAATTTAGGGCCTTGTCTAGATCCCTCTTTAACTGCTCTTTAGAAGGACAAACACTTCATTGTCCTCCCTCAATGACCTTACCTACCCAGGAAGAACATTATTCTGCTTCCAGTTCCAATCTCCTGATTCTCCAACAACTGCACATGTAACAATTACGCCTTCAGGATGAACTGTAAATAATTTCAGGGTGGGTCTAACTTTCCGATCATTGCAGCAGAAATAAAAGTTGTTCTGAACAAACTTGTCCAACAGCAGGGCCAGATTCTTCTTGGTCTCTTGAGACGTGTGCCCATTTCTCTCCCAAGAACTCCTGTATCATTAAGCATTAAGGAAGCAGCATTTGACGGCTGGATTCTGCAGGGGCTAATTCTAACAGCAGTGCTAACACACAGGTATAGGTTACAGAAAGAGAATGCGAGGATGCCTGCACCTGCCAACTCTAGCCAGGGGTAGATGCAGGCACAAGTTTGCACATGAATATTTGCAGGATAAGACCTTTGAAAATATCCCCCCCCTTTCATTTCCCATTAGATGGTCAACTTGATCAATGTGAAGCACAGTCCAGCTGTTTTTTCTGAGGATGGTAAAAAAGAAGACAGGCCTACTGTGCATCTGAAAATACATCCTTAGGCCTCAACTTAGCTTCTAGATTTGTGGTAAAAAAATGTTCTTCTTGCAACTAACTGCAGCCAGAGTCAGCTGGGAGAAGAGCTGACAGTTAAAATGCCTAGCCTACTTGCATGTGGGTAGATGAAGTCTATCCTTTTGCTCCTACCTACAGATGTAAAAATACGGATGCAACTAAAGATGCAAGTTTCAAGGGCTACCTAAAAACACCCCCCAAGGACTACAACTCCCTATGTATTCCATTAAAGTCAATCAAGGGTACTATAGAAAGTCACTCCAGATTTCCTTTAGCCATCTCATGTTAGGCTAATACAGTGACTCTCAGGTCCTCTGCTCAACAACTGGAATGACAGGTAAGAACCTGAAGGGTCCACAGGGCCAGAGGAGAGATCTGAAGTGTTGAAGCACGGCACTCTCTCTGGCACACAATTTTTACATAAATCTCAAATTATGCATTAAAGGTTAAAATCCTCCCCACACTTCTAAAATGCTATGTTTTACAAAGAAAACTTGGGATAAAGGAGCTAAAATACCCGTGAGAAGCTATAACTGAGTGTCAATTGCTGGCACATCATTATTACCTGGTTTGTAGAGTGCCTTGCACAGGGGGTCTCTATTCTTTGTTGACTTTTAAAGCATCACTGTACAAATACTATCTATAATAGCACCCAAGTGGCAAAAGGCCTCTAACCTTGGCCTTTCGATGCATCGAGCAGGGGTGGGCAATTATTTTGACTGGAGGGCCACTTAATGAGTTCTGGTGAGCTGTCAAGGGCTGCCCGGGTAGCTCCACCCCTTGACAGGTGCCCCACCCCCTGGTTGCCATTTTAAGACTGGAAGTCCCACCCTTAATCCCTGACCTTTACCACCAGAAGGCCTTCACTTTGCTCCAGATACACTCCTTTTGGGAGAAGAGGGTTGCCATCTTGAAACTGGAAAAAACCCCCAAATCATTTACTTAAAAAAACAAAACAAAACCAAAACCAAAAAAACTTGTACTATATGTTAATTTTTTTTAAAATTATATTTAAAAAAATCTTTTTGTCCCGATTTATGTGCGTTTGCATAGTGTATCTAGAGGTGATTGCATTACAGTTCAAAATACTGTCTTAGTCTTGTATATTGTGTGTGGGGGATAAGAGGGTATATGTGTGGGGGGGGGGTTAGGGAGTGTGTGCTTATGTGTGGTTGGGTGTGAATATGGTGGATGGGGTGTATGTGGTTGGGGTGGGGGCTGTGGGAGTGTGCAAGTGTGTTGGGGGTATGGTGGTGTGTGTGTGTGGGGGGAATTCCTCAGAGTCCCTGGAGTGCACGAGTCCCTGGAGCTGCATGTGGTGGCAGTAAGTGGGGCCAGCCTCACCCCAGCTCCATAGCACTCCTGCCCAAGTCCCTGGCCACACATGGTGGCAGCAAGCAGGGCCAGCTCCACCCAGCCCCATAGTGCACAGCTCCTGCAGTGTGCAGGGCCAGCCTAGCCTGACCCCATAGCACAGAGCTCCCCACATTTCCACCCCTTTTCCCCCCCAGTGGGAGTCCCTGGTCCAGTGGGGCCATACCTGAATTCCCACCCTCGCAGGCAGCGAGCCTGGGAACAGCCTCAGGGCGACTAGGCACAAGCTCTGCCAGGGCAGAGGCTTCTTGTCTCCAGTGTCCCCTGGCTTGGGGCTGGGGCAGGCCAGGCCAGGCCAGGCCGGGGTGGTTGCTTAGCAACCAGAGCTGCACCTCCTGCAGGGACAAGTCGGCTTGTAGGGGCAGCAAGGGCCAGGGCTTATGGAGGGGCCCCACGGGCTGGATGGAATTGCTTGGCGGGCTGCATCTGGC